GCGGCCGGCAAGACGGAGGCCCAGTTCCCCAGCTGCAGGGGGAGGCACCTCCATCCGTCACCTCTGTGGGCCCGCCCAGCCCCATCCATCACTCGCCCGGCTGCCGGCGGGGGCTGTCTAGCTAATTACTTAACGTGCCACATCTTGCTGAGGCCGGTGCCACGGCGAGGGGCCCACGGTGGAGTGCACGCAGAGCCGAGTGTAAATTTTTAATAAACTGGGGGTGGGGGCAGACCCACAGCCCGGAAGGGGGCCCCTGTGAGCCGCGCCCAGCCAGGCCCCCCAGACCCCCTGGCTTAGCATGGTGGCAGGGTGGCCTCACCTGCCCTCCGGGAGTCCCTCGGTAGGATCACGCCCGTGGGGGTCGGCGGGGTGATGATGATGTTGGGCACATCCAGGTGCTTGTCGCTCAGGACGGGGGCCTCATCATGGCTGCTGCTGACACACATTTTTAAGCCTGAGAGGGCAGGCCGTGGAACACACACGTACACACACGACAGAGAGACAAGCATCAGTGGCTGCCGGGGACTGCCCACCACTCCTGCCGGCCGCCCTCCTCCAGCACTGTGTGTCCCCACGCCACACGTGAGGAAACTGAGCCTCAGGACGGCGAAATGACCCGTCCGACCCTGCGCAACTTGGCGAGGGCGTGAGTTTTCTTTGCTTTGTTCACTAATGTGACCTGGGTGTGTGACACGCAGTAGGTATTCAAAACACGGCTCTGAATGGATGAAACCAATCGGGCTTGAACTGGAACCCAGGCCTGTCCGAATCATAGCCATGTGTGAAGTGACCTCTCCCACAAATTATTTTCTGAGAGAGTTTGTGTGAGATCAGTGTTGTTTCTTCCTTAAGAGTGACTGAACTCACTGGAGAAACCGTCTGGGCCTGGAATTCTCTTTGGGCAATTTGGTTTCTTTGACAGAGATGGGGCTATTCAGATTTTCTGTTTCCTCTTGCGTCCATTTGGCTACGTTGCATTAATCAAGGAATCTGTCCGTTTCTTCTAAGTTGTTGAATTCCTTCTCTTATCTCTCCCATAAACTCAGTACAGGTGATCCAGCCCAGCCCAGTTTTCATCTCCAGCTGACATAAAAGTACTCTCGCCAAACCCCTTCCTCATTCTCCCCATCTGAGTCAAAGCCGTCACCATGCACTGGAAACCAGAGCCTCAGCCACAGTTCTCCTGTCCTCCTTGCCCTCCAATCCTCTGGCCAGTTTAATCGACCACCAAGCCCGCAGATTCCACCGCCTTAATACCTGGGGGGTCCTTTCTCTCCCCCTCTCACGCCCCTAGCTAGCCTCTCCGCCCCCTGGCTTACCCCTCGGCAGCCCACCCTCCAAACAGCAGCCAGAAATGGCAAACCTGATCATACCTCGTAGCTGCTCAGAATTCTCACTCGCTCTTGGCAACTAGCTACAGGCAGCATTTTTCCAAAAGCGTGTCCCCTGCAACACTGGCCTCCTCAGACTCCCTCAGGAAGGGGGTTTCCATGATCAAATGAGTTTGCGAATCCCATCTGCTCTGTCCTCTTGGAGCGTCCCATGCATGATAGAGAATTAAAGGCTCTGAGAAGTCCTGCACTAAGGGAGCTGCTTTCATTGTCCTTCACCCCGGGCTTCCTGAACTTAAATAACCTTGACGTCTGTTTTTGGAGGGACACCTGTTACCATCTCACAAGACCATGAGTCATGAGATACATTTTGGGAAATGCTGATCATAAATTAGAGTCACAGCCTCTCAGCCCAGCCTTCAGCCTTCACGGTCTGGCCCAAACTCGTTTTGAAGCTTCATTCCCTGCCACCTGCCCACATGCCCCGAAATGCCCACAGTCCCCCAAATGCCCTGGGCTCCCCAGCCCTTTCGTGCCTTTGCACAGGCCGCCCCTCCTGCCTGGAGTGCTCCTCGTTGCTTTGGCAGGGTGGTGACCTCCTACTGATCCTGCAAAAGCCAGCACAGTAGGCTCTTCCGTGGGGGAAGATGTCCCGGGTATCTGACCCCGCTCCTTCAGTCTGAGGTCTTCCAGGGCTCATCTCACCGTATGGCAACGACTAGTTCTGTCTCCCTTTACTGTGCGCGTCTGGAGGACAGCCTCTACTCACTCAGCCACGTGTCCCTTGAAGCTAGCATTCTGCCTGGGATAGAGCAAGTAGGGGTGCTTTCAATTTTAAATAAAAAACAACTTCAGGCACTGCTGAATTGGGTAGTCATATCTTTGTCTCTATGTCCCATCACTTCGTTTGTTCCCGCCCCCCCGCAAACAGCCCCAGACTGGATTGCATCAGCTCAACTATCTGAGCCCCTAGCCAACATCAGGAACCGAGCAGTGGGGTGGCCTTCCCTGACCCCCACTGGGACAGTGCTCCTAAATGACCACTGTAGGGTTGGGGTGGTGGTTCTCAAGTATGTCCTCAACAGGTGGAGTCTAATTCCCCTCCTCTCCAGCACGGGATGGACTGAGGATAAATTCTAATGCCTAGAAAAAGAGGGAAGGGATGGCGTGTGACTTCCAGGAGAGGTCATAAAAGACACCGCACCTCCTTCGTGCTCTCGCTCTGGGGAAGCCAGCCGCCACGTTGTAAGGATGCTCAAGCAGCCTGAGGAGAAGCCCAGGGGGTGAGCCAACAGCCGTGGGAGGGAGCCACCTAGGAAGTGAGTCCGCCAGCCCAGCCAAGCCTGCAGATGAGACCACAGGCCCAGCCGACAGCTTGACTGTAACCTCACGAGACCCTCTGCGACAGAACCTCCCAGGCTAAATCATCCCGGAATTCCCAACACCCAGAAACTGTGAGATAATAAATATTTAAGCCACTAAGGTTGGGGGTGATTTGTTACGCAGCAGTAGATAACTGATACAGTCAGCACAGCTTGCCTGTCCTTGAAACCCCATTCCTGTTTCCCCGCTAGGGAGCCCCTGTGGCCCCCTGAATCTAACAGGCTGGTTAGTTTTGTAGAAAGAGGCCACGTCCCCTGCATCAGACTACAAGCCCCTCAGGAGTACCCACCAAGGCCGCTGCCGACCTTCTTTAAAGCCTTAGTATGCTGTTTCTTCCTGCCATCTTACACAGAAGCCCAGAATGTAAAACAAATAAAAAGAAGCCACTTGGAGGAAGCCCTCCTGTTATCACTGCACCAGTCAGCATTTAAGGATCATTGGCCATGTGCCAGACACTTCCTCCTTCAGTCTTCATGGCTACCCTGTGAGATGCAAACTCACAGACTGAGGACCAGAGAGGGTAAGAGCTTGCACAGCGGTGAACAGCTAGTGCACAGGCAGAGGCAGGATCCGAACCCAAACCCGGGCCTGTCTGACTCCAAAAGCTTCTGCTTCTTGTAACCACGATCCTACAACAGAGCCAGGAAACTATCTGAAAGGTGCCTGACAGTAAATATGTTTTACTTTGGGGGCTATGCAGTCTCTGTTGCAACTTCTCAGCTCTGCCACCGAGGGCAAACACAGCCACAGACAATATGTGAATGAGTGGGTGGGGCTGTGTGCCAATAAAACTTTATTTACTCAAATAGAAGGAGCAGCCAGCTTTGGCCCAAGGGCTGTGGTTTGCCACTGCCAGCTCTATAACATCCAGGGGTCGGGGAGTTTGGATCAGGGACACATGCCTGACGTCCTAACAGGCAACAAAGGAACCTCAAAAGCCCGAGGCTCATTAATGCCAAAACCAAAACCCAAATCCCAGACCTGGCTCCTGCTGCTGCAAAGTGACAGGTGGGGGGCGTGAGGAAATGAACGGAATGAATGAATGGGAAGTCCTTGCCAGGTGAGCTGGGGCCAAGAGGGTGTTCGGTCCCTGCTAGCTTCCTCTAGAATCATGCATAAAGTGCGTCTCGGGGAGCACCGGCCACAAAAGCAAGGTCTGATTATTATTATCTGTAACCGAAGGGAGTCTCCCCGCTCAGTCTCCAAGGCCCCTTCCTCGGCGAATATTCCAAAGTTCTACAATAAAAGGCTAATGGAGAAAAACCACACTCCTCCCAGGGCCAGCATTTGCATTTTGACATGTTCTGGGAGCTCGGTGACAAAGCACACATTCTTTTTTTTTTTTTTTTTTTTTTTTTTTGTGGTACACGGGCCTCTCACTGTCGTGGCCTCTCCCGCTGCTGCGGAGCACAGGCTCCGAACGCACAGGCTCAGCCATTCGGCAGGCGGACTCTCAACCACTGCGCCACCAGGGAAGCCCCAAAGCCCACATTCTTAATCAGGAAGCATCAGGTCGCTTGGTGGGCCCCGGAGATGCTGGAGGCTGAGAGGAGAGAGGGGAGGAGGGAGGGGAGGGGGAAGGGGGGAGAGGGGAGGGAGGGAAAAGAGGGGGCCCGGACTCCAGCCCCTCTCAACCCCCCAGGCCCCCCAGCCTCAGAGCAGAGGTGGCTGAGCACGGGGGAGCAGCTCTCAGGAGATAAAGCCGACTTTAGGGATTAAAAACAAAAGCCAGCCCTGCCCCAGACAAGCAGCTCATTTGTGCTAAAGCCAGAATGGTTATTTGTTAATTATGTGCCCGTCACAGGCCAGTGAGAGCCCATTTCCTGAGGGGAAGGGCTTGGCTGGGATCCCAGGGGGCGGGGCCCCAGGAGGGAGCAAGCAGGGCCCCAGAGCTGCGGAAGATTTTAACTGGGGATGTGATGGGGCGCTTGCGCAGGAAGCCTTCCGGGCTGGCAGCTGTCGCCCGCCTCAACCAGGCCCTGCTCTGGGGCACACGCCGTCTCAGTTGTGGAGATGGAACAAGCTGGGCCTGACCTCTCTGGCCTCCTGGCGCCCGCTTTCCCACGGGGGAAACGCGCAGGCTGTGATGGGAGGCCAGGCAGACTGCCTCTGAAAACCTGGTTCAGCCCTTGCCCTTGCCCCGCTCCAGGGCAGTGGTTTTCCATCTTGGCTGCCTACTGCGGCCACCTGGAAAGTTTAAAAAATATCCCGGGGCCGGGGGGTGGGGGTGGGGGACCCTGCCCCCAGGGGGCCAGATTTCACCGTGCTACACAGGCCACCAGGACTTTAAAAAGTTCCTGGGTGACTCTGACAGCAGGGCTGGGACCCCCCCCCCCCCCC